GAACAGAGCTCGCTGCAGAGGGTAGCTGATGTTCCCGAGATGAATGCCCTTTAAACAAGGCGTCTGTTTTGGAGGTAATGACTGTGATTCTTAAGTCATGATAATCAGATAACATCAGATCTGCTGCTGGATAGAAGTCCTGATTGTCACGTACACAAACTGCAGACCTCCCACCCTCACAACAAGCAGAGATTTGGTGTCATATGGACGCTGCTGAAAAGCATGATTAGCAGGTTATTGTTGATGGTGGAACATGCAGGATATGTAAACAAACCTGCGTGTGGATGTGTTGTGTTTGATATTTGTTGTTTGTCCACCTGCCCGTGCCTCAGGTTTGAGATGCTGGATGCTGCCAGGAACAAAGCCAGAGTGAAAGCCTGCTACGTGATGATGGCGGTCACGATTGGGGCGTGTTTGATCACGGTGATCCTGGGCAAACGGGTGAGTGATAATGGACGACCGCTTTGTGTTTCATGCTTTGGTTTTCTCCTGTTTTTAAAAGGAGGATAATCTCGTTGTGTTTTCACACCTGTGACGACAGACGTGAAAATTAGACATTTTTAAAAATCCTATTCCTCATTTTTCTCAGGCTGCAGGCAGAAACGAGTCTCTGACAGTCCAGAACATGGAGAAGAAAGCAAGATGGAGGGAGGAAATACAGAAAGAGAAGGAAGCTGCTCTCGCCCTGTCTGAGAAGGCTCACTAAAAGATCACGTCCCTTCAAACCCTCATAGTGGGCCCATAGTGTCCCCCTTATCCCTGTATTTATCACAACTTCAGAGCTCTCCACTCCCATCCTACATAGCAGCCAACAGAAATCACAGCAGTTTGTGATTCTTAACTTTTTTTAAGCCTTTGTGAAGTTTCATCTTCATTTTTTTTTAAACGGATAACAAATACTGTGGCGTTGTGATACATTTCTGGCAAAAATAATGATTTTTCAGACAAGAGACGCACCAATAACGTTTTATCTAGCAATGCTTCTAGTAAGCTTTCAACATATACCTCGAAATCTCTCCAAAATAACTGCCTTAGTTTTGAAATTAACCTCAAAGGCAACGGTCCGACTTGTGATGACAGTTCAGGTTTAAAATGGTGTTCTGTTTTTCTGTAAGAGAACGTCAAGAAGTGGATCAGGCATCTGAACGAGGGTCCGGTCTGTTCTGGATCATGTGGGTTGTTCATGACTTGATGCAGCTTCTGTGTTTGTATAAAGTGAGCACTAAAAAAATATGAAATAAAGTATTTCTTCTTGAGGATTCCTGTTTGATTGCATATCACTTTCATATGTTATGGGTTCACATCACCCCAGGCCTCAAAGACCTTCACTGGCTTCCTGTCTCCCATCGAATCAACTACAACATTCTGGTCCTCACCTGCAAAGCACTCCACCATCTGCCCCCCC